AAAAGTATTTATGGTCACCATGGGAAGATTACCCCCACTATATAGAAGTTTATTTGTGCTCGCGTACATACTTGAATTACCCAAAAATTCTGCTGAAACCTATAAGATTGCTAGCTAATTACAATCAGAATCATTCCATACAAATATCAGAACGGAGAAGGATAGCACAATGCTCAATTCACAAACAAGTAACTTAATCTAACTCTAGCAGAGGATAAAACTACATAGAATCATTTGATACAGAGATTAGAAATGAGAAGGTTCACACAATGTTGATACGATATCAATCTTGTCAGATACAATTTTTAGCAGAGCATCTTCGAACTAAATCAGATTTTTTGACCATGAGAAAACAGGACGACACACTTATTTCCAACACCAATATTGTAATGACCGTAAATTTCTAATACAGGTTTAAATAATTTTCTGGTATTTAAATATTAAATATTATTTTTCTAAAAGAGTATTTGTATTTTTCCCAATTTCTCTAGAATTTTCTACGATTTAAAAATACGGTATTATGTTATTTTAATATTTTTACTAATTATAAATTTAATTGTTTTGGTGAAATTTTTAAATAAATAGTTAATTATTCATCATTGTTATTGTTATTATTATTTAGACCATAAATTTTAATATGTACTTTAAATAAATTTTATGATATTTTTTTATTATTTAAAGGGGTATTTTTCCTGTGTTTTTCCTCCCACCGGTGTTCACTCTGTATACCCCCCGCCTCGTGTTTTCCCCCAGTTCTCAACCCACGTCCTCCCAACCACCCTATCCGGCGCTCTCTCCCTCATTAATTTCTTCCGCCGTTCTTCTCTCTCTCTCCAATCCCACACTCAATCTCTCTCTCTCTCTGACACTCTCTCTAATCCAACAAAATCTCTCACACTCAACCAATCACTCAATCACTCACTCTCTCTCTCTCTTCTTTATTATATTTTCTTCACTCTCTCTCCTCTTTTAGACCATCTCCAACGCAGCGGCATTTTGAGGCGAAAAGTGAAAATGCCGCTGCGTGGGAGCTCCAATCGAGCGGCATTTGTTGCCGCATTTTGACGGGGATGAACAGCGCGACGCTATATTTGGCGTCGCACTGTTCATCCCCCATTACTGTTTTTTTTTATTTTTATTTTTTTCAATTTTTTTTTAAACCTCATACTTTTATATATTTACAATTTTATTTACAATTTGTCCCCAATTGTTTCATTAAATATATAAAACAACCCCAATAATATTTAAATTTTATAATTTTACCCCAATTGTATAATGTGGACAAAATAAATTATTTTTTAAAAATAAAAAATGCTAAAATTTAACAGACATTATTATTAATTATAATATTAAAATCTAGACATACATAATATAAAACTTCATTAAAGAGCAATCATAATACATAATTCAAATATAAATTACATATCTGAAATACATAACATATAAAAACTGACACACATAATATAAAACTTCATTAAAATAAAACATAAAATACAAACTAAACATGGTGACGTTACTTAAGATGGACAAGCAACTCTCAATAATCTGGTAGATCGGGGCCAGAGTGTCCAATATCATTAAAATAATTGCCAAAATTAGAAGCAGACCCTTGTTCTTGTTGATTTCTTTTTTGTATTATTTTAATCTGTTGAGCTCGAACGTACTCACGCACGTTTGGATCAGCAATGGAATTCAAATCTTTCATTATAATTTTCCATTCATCTCTATCTTTTTTCATGGCTATCTTTTCTCGTTCGATATCAAATGCTTCTTGCCTGTCCAAGCTCGCCTTGTCTAACCTGTCTATAAGTCGATTGTTGGAGGTCTCGATGGAGTCCACTACACTTGACTCATGATCATCATTTTTCCTTTTCAATTTAGCTTTTTTTACCCCAATAGGTCGTTCAGATGGAGTAAATGATGACAATCCAGGAGATGTTGATATAGGAGATTCCGGAGTGGGATTATCTGATTGTGACGAGTCGAAGTTCACACTTTGGGATTGTCTTCGACCAACTTGTCTTGCTGTGGGGACATCATCTTTGAATTTTTCGAAATTTTTAACCATATTCCAGACATGATCAAATTTGAAACCTTTTTTGTACTTCGGTTCTTGCATAAATAACATCTTTGCTCGAACTAACTGTAAATTATAGTGAACATCAAGTTATGTATTTCAACAATAATAATAAAATTCAAACGATAATTAATAGAATACTTACAATATCTTCATCTGAAGCACCACTTGGATTCAGATTCTCTACTTGTCTCAAGCACGCATTCAATTTCCTTACTTCATTACTTATAATTTCCATTCGAGAACGAATTGATCGGCTCGTACGCATCTCAAAATGCTGATCTCGAAGTTCATTGTATTTGTCCTCCACACGAGACCAAAATGCATCTCGAGACTGGTTTCTACCGATAATAGGGTCTTGAGAAATATCCAAGAATACTTGACAAAGGAGCACATCTTCAGTAACCGTGTACCCAGTTGATCGAACAGACATTTTTTGTAAAAAGTGGTTGGTTTGGAGATCAGAAATACTTCGAATTGGGTGGTTTGAAGTAGAACTCGTGAATGTTATTTATAGCCAATCCAAATTTGTTTTTTTTGTTTGAATTTGAATTTGAATTTGAATTTGAATTTGCGGTTGGTTTGAATTTGTCGGTGGTCAACATTTGAAATTGAATCATTTTGTACAAACTGATCAGCTTTACACATTATCCAACGTTGTCGGTGGGAATCAATTTTTGAAATCAGGTCAGCTTTACACATTGTCCAACGTATACAAAGCTCAGCTCTCCTTGAATTGTGTGAAAGCTTTGTACGAGTGGGAATCAATTTTTGAAATCAGGTCAGCTTTACACATTGTCCAACGTATACACAGCTCAGCTCTCCTTGAATTGTGTGAAAGCTTTGTACGAGTGAGAATCAATTTTTAAAATCAGGTCAGCTTTACACATTGTCCAACGTATACACAGCTCAGCTCTCCTTGAATTGTGTGAAAGCTTTGTACGAGTGGGAATCAATTTTTGAAATCAGGTCAGCTTTACACATTGTCCAACGTATACACAGCTCAGCTCTCCTTGAATTGTGTGAAAGCTTTGTACGAGTGAGAATCAATTTTTAAAATCTGTCAGCTTTACACATTGTCCAACGTATACACAGCTCAGCTCTCCTTGAATTATGTGAAAGCTTTGTACGAGTGGGAATCAATTTTTGAAATCTGTCAGCTTTACACATTGTCCAAAGTATACACGGCTCAACTCTCCTTGAATTGTGTGAAAGCTTTGTACGAGTGGGAATCAATTTTTAAAATCAGGTCAGCTTTACACATTGTCCAACGTATACACAGCTCAGCTCTCCTTGAATTGTGTAAAATAATATTGTACTAGTGGGAATCAATTTTTGAAATCAGGTCAGCTTTACACATTGTCCAACGTATACACAGCTCAGCTCTCCTTGAATTGTGTGAAAGCTTTGTACGAGTGGGAATCAATTTTTAAAATCAGGCCAGCTTTACACATTGTCCAACGTATACACAGCTCAGCTCTCCTTGAATTGTGTGAAAGCTTTGTACGAGTGGGAATCAATTTTTGAAATCAGGTCAGCTTTACACATTGTCCAACGTATACACAGCTCAGCTCTCCTTGAATTGTGTGAAAGCTTTGTACGAGTGGGAATCAATTTTTGAAATCAGGTCAGCTTTATACATTGTCCAACGTATACAGCTAAAAGCAAATTTGAATTTTGTGACAAATTGATAACAGCTGGAAAGCATTTCCTAAAATCAGCTCAACTTTACACATTGTTCAATGTATACAGCTAAGCAAAGTTTTATAAATAGCATACTAGATTAGGTACATCCACACAATTACTCGTTGTTGTGTTAAAATTATTATTCTCCATTTCTGCATACTTCAGTCATTCTTTTCTTACTTCAAAAATGAATTTCGATGTTGGAGGTCCATCATACTTATCATCATCTTCATCTTCGGATGATGATAATTTTCTGTCCAATATCATTGCAGAGATTGATGAAACCGAAGAAGTAATTTGTGAGTACATCAACAACAACATGATCCTCGTTAACAATTTACGTCAACAAAACTATCAACCGATCCATGGTGGCTCGATTCCCGGTCATGCAGTGATCAACCGCGATCGAGAAAATGCGCATCAGAATTTGGTCATAGATTACTTTGCCGATAATCCACGTTTTGGAGAAGATATGTTTCGTCGTCGATATCGGATGTCAAGAAGTTTGTTCCTTCGTATTGTTGATGCAGTGAAAGATCATGACTATTACTTCCAACAACGAAGTGATGGACTTGGTAGAATGGGATTATCACCGTTACAGAAAGTAACAGCTGTTTTTCGCATGTTGGCATACGGTCTACCAGCTGATGCTACGGACGAATACGTTAAAATAGGTGAGTCAACAGCAATTGAAAGTATGACAAAATTTTGTCGTGCTATGGTGGAAATATTCGCAGAGCGGTATCTACGAACACCTAACGCTAACGATATTGCTAGGCTTGATGATAATTTTCTGTCCAATATCATTGTAGAGATTGATGAAACCGAAGAAGTAATTTGTGAGTACATCAACAACAACATGATCCTCGTTAACAATTTACGTCAACACAACTACCAACCGATCCATGGTGGCTCGATTCCCGGTCATGCAGTGATCAACCGCGATCGAGAAAATGCGCATCAGAATTTGGTCATAGATTACTTTGCCGATAATCCACGTTTTGGAGAAGATATGTTTCGTCGTCGATATCGGATGTCAAGAAGTTTGTTCCTTCGTATTGTTGATGCAGTGAAAGATCATGACTATTACTTCCAACAACGAAGTGATGGACTTGGTAGAATGGGATTATCACCGTTACAGAAAGTAACAGCTGTTTTTCGCATGTTGGCATACGGTCTACCAGCTGATGCTACGGACGAATACGTTAAAATAGGTGAGTCAACAGCAATTGAAAGTATGACAAAATTTTGTCGTGCTATGGTGGAAATATTCGCAGAGCGGTATCTACGAACACCTAACGCTAACGATATTGCTAGGCTACTCTATATTAGTAAAAAACATGGTTTTCCAGGAATGTTAGGAAGTCTTGATTGTATGCATTGGAAATGGAAAAATTGTCCAACAGCATGGTCTGGGCAATACACAGGACGTAGTGGGTCACCAACTATTATCCTCGAAGCTGTGGCAGATTATGATCTTTGGATATGGCACGCATATTTTGGTATGCCAGGCACCAATAATGATATCAATGTGCTGGAGTCATCTAATCTTTTCTCTAACCTAGCTCAAGGTATTGCTCCTCCCGCTCACTATGTTATTCAAGGAAAAGAGTATAATATGGGTTATTATTTAGCTGATGGTATATATCCGAAATGGGCTACTATTGTACAAACAATCCAACAGCCACAAGGTAGGAAGAAAAAATATTTTGCCATGAAACAGGAAGCATGTAGAAAAGATGTAGAACGTGCGTTCGGAGTTCTCCAATCACGATTTGCAATCGTGGCAGGATCAGCACGTTTTTGGAAAAAACATGTATTACATGACATAATGACTGCATGCATTATTATGCACAATATGATAATCGAGGATGAACGTGATCTTTATGCACCAATTCAAGAAGTGAGGGAAGCACCAACACCAGAAGTTGATATGGTAGCAGATGAAACTACAAGATTTACTCAATTTATTACACGTTACGGAAAAATCAAGGATAAAGATGCTCATATTGCGCTTCGTAATGCATTGATAGATCATCTATGGGAGGAATACACTAATTCAGATAGTTAAGTGCATACTAAATTTGTAATTTTTACATTGTTGTTAATGTTTAATTATTTCCTTGTATTTTATTTCCTGTTGTGTTCTTGAATGTAATATTTTGGCAATATCAATAATAAAAATATAATATTTTAGCAATCAAGTTATTTTAATTAATAAAATAATATTTTATTGTTTTATTAGTTTAATTTTTAAATAATAAATCATTTTGTTTGGAAAATATGTGAAAAAATAAAATTTGATATGTGGGGTTAATTGTTGAAATAGTTAAAAATATAGGGAATAAAAAATAATCATATAAAAGTAGATAAAAAGAAAGATACTGAGAATATTCCTTTTTGGTGCAAAAAATGGTGCAATGGGTTGGAGATGAATTACTGTTAGATGTGACTTTTGCACCATTTTGGTGCAAAATTTGCACCATTTTGAGGCAAAGGGTTGGAGATGCCCTAAAAGGGAAACCCAGAGCTCGAAAACCCTTAGCCTCTCCTTCTCGTGTTCTTTCAGCGACGATGGAGCTCATTCTCTCTCCTCTCACGATTCTTTTTATTTCCAATGCTCAGAGATTTTAGAGGAAAGTTAAAGAGAGAAATTTAAAGAGGAGGAATTAAAGAGGGGTATTTAAGAGAGGAGAATCTTCAATGTAGCTACAATGAAGATTTGTATTTATTGAGAGATCTCAAGTTTGAGATCTGCTCTTGCATTATAATTTCTTATTGAAAAAGAAATAAATTAAAGGTAATTTATAAAATAGGAAAATATTATTTTCATGCAGAAAAAGAATAACATGGTTAAGAAAAATATTGGTTGGACAGTGCCTGAATCGAACCGACTTGACGTGTCGACACGCGTGAGTCGACACGAAAGACGGAGTGTGACGACCGATCTTCGAGTCGACGCCGTAAGTCAACTCGAAGGGCGGTGAGACCCGGCCCGACAAATCATAGGATTTTATTGGGAGTAATGTCGACATTTCATGTGTATGATAACTACTAATTGCGATCCCTCTTATACTGTTCATGTATAACGTTTTGTTTGTAGTCTCTAATCATGTTTTATAATCTTTATTTTATTAGTCTTAATTACTTGTTGTTCCATGCTGTGATTGAGAACCTTAGTAGTTCATGTCCTTAGTGGCCTGGCGTGTCGTGTACAAGACCTAGATACTTGTGTTTTGTTGACTTAGAAAAACAATGAGTGTTGGGATGGAAATTCTTGGTTCAGGTGATATCGTGGATGTTGATTATTTCCAGGCTCGCACCAGTGGATCGTTTCACTCTGGGGTGGGTCTGAGGAGCAGTGATATGTGGATGTTTATGTATTTTCCAGGCTCGCACCAGTGGATCGTTTCACTCTGGGGTGGGTCTGAGGAGTTGTGATATTTGTGATTTGCGATTAGTTAGTTACCCGAGGATATGAACGTTAGCTCTGTATGAGATAGGGACCAGTGAGTTGTGATAGGATGGTTAGTTGTTTTCTTTTCATACATAGATCATGATTAATATTTAATTATCTACAATTTGAGACATATGGTATATACATGAGGGTTTCCTTGTTTGGATTATTTCGCTCGACGTACTACGTCTCGAGTTGTAGATTTTTAAGTATTAATTCCATCTATTGTATAACCTTGTTGCTTGGATGATTGTTCTGATCGCTAGCTGCATGTTTTTGTTACCTGAATGATTTACGGATTCTTATGATTATCATGTGGATTGCATGTTGATTTTGTTAGATTACCAGTTGCACGTTCTTTTGTTATTTCGGTTTTCGTATCGTTTTCCGCTTGTGTTTTCGGTCGTTCTATTTTCCTTGTGGGGTCGGGTCTTGCCGTTTTGGATTATTTCGCTTGATGTACTACGTCTCGAGTTGTAGATTTTTAAGTATTAATTTCATCTATTGTATGACCTTGTTGCTTGGATGGTTTTTTATCACTACCTGCATGATCTTCTTACTTGGTTGATTTTTGGATTCTTCTGATTATTAGTATTCCAGTTGTATGCCTCTATCGTTATTACTATCATTACATGTTCTATTTCTATTTCTATTATAGCATTGACCACGCATATATTATCATTACTGTTATTGTATTTGTTCCTGCCTTGGGGGATCTTGCCGTGTGTTCCACACGCTGACGTACTCCTATTTTCTGGGTGTACGTCAGATTTAGGAGACGGACAGCCTCAGTTCGGAATCGTATAGGAGCCAGATGATTCTTAGCAGGGGTGTCTTACAGAAGGAGTAGAAGAACCAGCTGAAGCGTAGTAGTTTTCTCCGTAGTAGTAGTTGAACATTAAAACTCTTTTACCGCACTTTTCTTTAGTTTGATGATAGATTTAGTTATTTTATTTCCTTTTATTATGGACTATGTATTTCTTATTTCCTAGTTGAACTGTTGTTGTAATAAGGGTACGTTTGACCCATATTTTATGTCTAGGATGATTTACCATTGATGATATGTCTATTTTTATTCTGGGTTGTCTTTATATTCTTGCTATGTGTGATTTACCATTGATGATATGTCTATTTTTATTCTGGGTTGTCTTTATATTCTTGCTATGTGTGATCGGGGACATGTGACTTCGCATTGTACTTATTTCCAGACGCTTAGCGTATTGGATTGAGAAGAAAAGAAAAGAAAAAAACTTCGCATTGTACTTATTTCCAGACGCTTAGCGTATTGGATTGAGAAGAAAAGAAAAGAAAAAAAAAGCTAGAGTATATTTCTTCTCAATCTAATACGTCGCGGGCTTATTCACGTTCCGGTTCCCGTGTATTTTGGGAAGCGGGGCGTGACAGGTTTTTTTGGTGGCCCATGCAGGTCACGGTCCCGAGTCCTCACTAGTAAGGATATGGTAGATAATTTAGATACATATCATATTTCATCCGTAAGACTACAATTAAGTTCTTATATTATTATTTTAGATACAATTAATTTCTTATATTATTATCTTAATAACTATGTTTTAGTCCCTATTCTCCAAATATATTGTTGATCTTAACCTTAGGTATCCTTTGATCCTCGTTTTCTTCAGAACCATGGTGGGTACTCGTAGTAATGGTAACCCATCCAGTAGCAGTGGTCAGATGCCTGAAGTAGATCCGCAGCAGCTTTTAGCGATGATTCAGGGGCTGATGACGAACCAGCAGTTCTTGGCTGGGCATTTGCAGCAGGAGCCTCAGCACCAGCATCCACCTCGCCCGGAGCCTAGTGTTAGAGAGTTTCGATATATGCGGCCTCCTTCCTTTAGTGGTTCTGATGGACCTTTAGCAGCAGAGGAGTTCCTCAAGGTCACGGAGACTATCCTTACGGTGACTCGTATCCCCCTGCAGAGTGGGTAGATCTCATGGATGTTCAGCTCACGGATACAGCTAGAATCTGGTGGGCTGCTGAGAAGACACACCTAGAGAGGCCGATTCCGTGGGAGACATTCACGGATCGCTTCAATAGGAAGTATTTTCCTCAGTCGGCCCGAGATGAGCTCCTGCGTAGATTTGTCGAGCTCAAGCAGGGGGGTCGATCAGTCGACGAGTACGAGGTCGAGTTTTCTTCTTTGAGCCGATATGCTCCCTACTTGGTTGCAGACCCTACAATTAGGAGGCATCAGTTCCAGAAGGGTCTGGACAAGTATATTAGATTGGCTCTAGCTGGTAGAGCACTTGCGACCCACGACGCCGTGTTGGATGCAGCACGCGAGATCGAGAGCGTTCAAAAGGAGCCTGAAGATCCACATGTGATCCAGAGCAGGACACCGGTAGCCCCAGTCCGAGATGACGAGCGTCCACCTTCGAGGCAGCAGCAGAATCCGCAGCGACAGCAGTTTTCTCAGCGCCAGCCATTTCATCAGGCTCACCCTTATCAGCACCCTGGAGTGCAGTCTCATGGCCAGTCTTCGGTGAGGTGTTCTTATTGTGGGTATAATGGGCATACCCAGCAGGAATGTCGCANGTCCCCCGACCATCTCAGTTCGAACTGTCCTCAGAAGCAGCAGGCCCGCTTGCCCCCACATCCAGTTCGAGCAGCTCTTCCAGCTCCACCTCGATCAGACCCGGCAGCACAGCCTCAGCACAGACCCTATCCTCGAGCAGGCCATTTTCCTCCACAGCAGCAGGTTTATCAGGAAGTGCAGATGCAGCAACCACCACGTCAGACATTCATGATTACGGCCGTGGAAACTGAGGCAAACGACCAGGTTATTACATGTAAGAGTTGTTCATTCTCAATTCTACTTGCAGGTGATTTTCCTTATTAGTATTGCCTGATGATATTATGATAGGATTTATTTATGAGTGCTAGTTTAGATGTATTTTCTTCCTCCTGTAATAGGCAACGTTCTTGTTTCTTCCGTTCTTGCTTTATCACCCTTTGACTCTGGGGCTTTCCGTTGTTTCTTGTCTCGTCAATTTGCGAGTACCCACTTTCGTTCCATATCTCTGTTCTTGGGTTTAAATTCCGAGGACGGAATTTGTTTTAAGGGGGGTAGGATGTAATGACCGTAAATTTCTAATACAGATTTAAATAATTTTCTGGTATTTAAATATTAAATATTATTTTTCTAAAAGAGTATTTGTATTTTTCCCAATTTCTCTAGAATTTTCTACGATTTAAAAATACGGTATTATGTTATTTTAATATTTTTACTAATTATAAATTTAATTGTTTTGGTGAAATTTTTAAATAAATAGTTAATTATTCATTATTGTTATTGTTATTATTATTTAGACCATAAATTTTAATATGTATTTTAAATAAATTTTATGATATTTTTATTATTATTTAAAGGGGTATTTTTCCTGTGTTTTTCCTCCCACCGATGTTCACTCTGTATACCCCCCACCTCGTGTTTTCCCCCAGCTCTCAACCCACGTCCTCCCAACCACATTATTATTTAGACCATAAATTTTAATATGTATTTTAAATAAATTTTATGATATTTTTATTATTATTTAAAGGGGTATTTTTCCTGTGTTTTTCCTCCCACCGATGTTCACTCTGTATACCCCCCACCTCGTGTTTTCCCCCAGCTCTCAACCCACGTCCTCCCATCTCTCTCTCTCTCTCTCTCTCTCCCTCTCTCTCTCTCTCTCTCTCTCTCTCTCTCTCTCTCTCTCTCTCTCTCTCTCTCTCTCTCTCTCTCTCTCTTTCTCGTTCTC